GCAGGGCGAACGGGGCAGCTGCCCCGGGCTCTGTCCCAGCTGGGGGGCCCAAGACAGCTGCTCCTTTTGCCCTCTGCCCGCAAACTATGGGGGCCCATCGGGTGGCCCATTCACTTAGGGCCACCCGGTGGGCCTGTGTCAGCAGGGGCCCGGTCGGGCGCTGTGGCGCTTTAACAGCGCGACCGGGCCCTTGCTTTTCGGCAGCACTGGGAGGAAGTGACAGCCGTGCGTCACTTCCTCCCACAGAAACAAGAGCCGCGCGGGAGGAAGGAGCTGTTCCGGAGGGGGCCAGGCCGGGAGAGCTTAACTCCCAGCCACCCCAGCCAGCCCACTGGACCCCAGGGAAGCCACCCTCCAGGAAAAGGTAAGAAACTGGAGGATGGTTATCAAATTTTGCATGAGTGTCTGTGTGTGTGTGTGTGTGTGTGTGTGTGAGAGTATGTATGTATGTCTGTCTGTCAGTGTGCCAGTATGTCTGTGTGTGTCAGTGTATGTGTGGTTCTGTATGTCTGTGTTTGTCAATATGTCTGTCAGTGTCTGTGTGTATGTGTGTTTCAGTATGTCCGTCTGTGTGTATATGTGCCAGTATGTCTGTCAGTGTGCCAGTATGTCTGTCAGTGTGTCAGTATGTCTGTGTGTGTGAGTCTGTCAGTGTATGTGTGGTTCTGTATGTCTGTGTTTGTCAATATGTCTGTCAGTGTCTGTGTGTATGTGTGTTTCAGTATGTCCGTCTGTGTGTATATGTGCCAGTATGTCTGTCAGTGTGTCAGTATGTCTGTGTGTGTGTGAGTCGGTCAGTGTCTGTGTGGTTCAGTATGTGTGTGTGTATGTGTGTTTCAGTATGGCTGTCTTTGAGTGCCAAAATGTCTGTATGTGTGTACGTCTGTCAGTGTCTGTGTGTATGTGTGTTTCAGTATGGCTGTCTGTGAGTGTCAAAATGTCTGTATGTGTGTACGTCTGTCAGTGTCTGTGTGTATGTGTGTTTCAGTATGTCTGTCTGTGTGTATGTGTGCCATAATGTCTGTATGTCTGTCAGTGTGTCAGTATGTCTATGTGTGAGTCTGTCAGTGTCCATGTAGTTCTGTATGTCTGTGTGTATGTGTGTTTCAGTATGGCTGTCTGTGTGTGTCTCTGTGTCAGTACGTCTGTCAGAATGTGCCTTTGTATCTGTATGTTGTCCGTTTGTGTTTGTGTGTGTATCTATATATAGTCAGTGTGTATCTGTATGTGTCCGTGTTTGTATATGTATATCTGCATGTGTGTCAGGTTGTGTATCTGTGTATCTGTGTGTCTGTATGTGTGTCAGTGTATCTGCATGTATCAGTGTTTGTATCTGTGTATCTGCATGTTTGTCAGGTTGTGTATCTGTGTTTGTGTCTATCTGTGTGTCAGTGTTCTATATGTAGTCTGTGTGTATCTGTATGTTCTTGTGTGTATCTATATGCGGTCAGTGTGTATCTGCATGTGTGTCAGGTTTTGTATTTGTGTGTATCTATATGTAGTCAGGGGGCCCAAGTTAATGCTTGCCCAGGGTCCAATCAGAATTAAAGACGGCCCTGGGCCCTAGAGAAAACTTATGACATAGACACACCATAGACATTCAAAAGTAAGCCATTAGTTTTGAGTATGGAGTGCTGGTGCCACTAAAAATTAAATGTTTTTCTTTCACAAAGTATCTTCCTACCCTTGTAGGAAAAGGGAAGCATGACTTCTGGAAGATGCAGTTGGCGCTGTAAATCCTTTGTCATAGAGGCAACAATGTTGCAAATTCATGTACAGCACAAATAATCATGACCAGCAACTGGCTAACAGCAAGGATCAGGGTTCTAGAGTTCTTTGACAGTTTTAGTGGTGGTACGGTACCGTCTGCTTCGGATACAACCCAACAGCAACCCAACAGCAGCTTCTGGCAATGCTTGTTATGTTCAGGTTTAAAGATAATGGTTTTGGAGTTTATGTGCTGTTATGTACTTTTTATGAACACTGCCTGGGTTCAGCAATCATGTTTTTTTTCTTCTTCAAATAAGCTTAATTAAATTTAAATTGAATCTAACATAATCTGCCATACTTCACTTTCAAGGGAGCTCAAGCAGTACGATCACTAATTGGGGTATGCTTAAAAAAAGGACCAATTTGATTAGCTCCACCTTATTACCGTACTTATGACAATTCTCATAGCTACAGTTTAGGTTAAATGCATATCTTTTATCTTTTTTTTCCAGGAGTGCCATACAAATTATAATAGACAGATCCAAAACGTGAAATAAATAAAGCAATCTTTTAAATATACATTTGACTAATCATAGCAGGAAAGAAATCACAGATATAGATATTTTTATTTGTCAATTATGTGTCCTAGTTGTAAAGTTCGAGGCTCAAATAATGATTTTATTTGTATCATTAGGTTGAATAATTACCAACATTATCATGAGATAGAAATTAGAACAGTCTTACAAACATATTTCATATTATATAATTTTACAGAATTCATCGGATCTTGCAACTCCCGTCTTTTGAACAATAGACATTATACTCTCCAGATGGATTGTAAGAATACTCTTTAGACTGATAGCTTTGCTAGTGAAAATACATTTGCTTCAATTTGAATACAGGTTCCGCTGTCGGAAGGGCTCCATATTTCTCAATACCTTTAGTGCTGATGCTTTGAGAACAGAAAGAGTACTTCACTGTACATGAAAGCCCTAATCTGCATTTATACGCATCCAGAAATCAAGGTCTTTTGTAATGTTTTGTAACACTCCATCACTACAAAAATGTTCTGCCTGATTGAAATCTGTGAATCTGAACACAGCCACAAATCCAAACCTATCGTGTGAATAGGAACAATTTATTTAAAAAAATAGTCAATGCTTGGCATAGTAGATGTCACATACGTGAATTAATATGGTATGCACTGCCATTTCATCATCTTTACTATGGGTTGTCTATATTACAAGTAGAAAACTACATTCATATTAATAAAATGAAAAATAAATGTATAAACATATTGTGGCGGACAGCCTGCCCACCCCCCTCCCCCCCCCGACTGGGTGCCTCCGCCAATCACTGCTTCCTAGTACCTCCGAGTACTTCCAAGCACTCCACCAGACACCATCAGCACCGTAGTCCCCACTTCCAGCGTAACAGCCTGGCTGTGGTCTCACCGTCCTCCACCCACCCTGGAACCAAGACCAGGATCCAGCTTCCAGTGGGCAGAACTCTCCTACTCCAGAAAGTGCTCTTACAAGAGCAAGTGATTATAACCCAGAGGAGTATAGCAATCCCCAGGGTAGATACAGCTGTTTCCCCTACACATGAGACAATATGTTGTGGGGAAGCAAGAACAGCACCCTCACAAACACACACACACAAACACCCTCACCCACATAGCACACTACCAGCACCCTCACACACAGTACCCTTACACACACACACACACACACACACATAGCACCCTTACACACACAGCACCCTCACCCTCACACTGCACACTAACAGAGCACACACACAGCAGTGTATGTGTGTGTATGTATATATATATATATATATATATATATATATATATATACATACATATACACGTGGTGTGTATATCTGGGGGACCAACATATCCAAAAATCACCCAGATCGGTTCAGGGCTTCAGGATTTCCATGGAAGTCATAATTTTGACCAACCATGCACCTGGTCCTTTGCCCAAAACAGTTCCAGGGAATCAGGTTAATGGTCGGTCTCTTTTTCTGGATTACAAAAGTAACAAAAGTACATAAATCACATATGTTTTTAAAGCGCTCATAGTCTTTTGGCAGGAGGCTGGCAAGCAGGCCCCTACAAGAACACGCGGCAGAGGCATTTCTGCCACACATATGATGCAATTTTATTTAAACGTAGCATTAAATGTATACGATTAGCAGGCAAACAACGTCAGCTTAATAGAGCAGTTTTGGTGTATAGATCATGCACCATGCAGTCTCACTTCTCACTTTTCTGCCATTTAGGTGTTAAATCACTTTTGTTTCTGTTTATGCAGCCATAGCCACACCTACCCTGGTGCTGACTCATTCAGCCAACATGAAAAAAGATTTCATTTTCAATCCGCTATGACAGCATAGTTTGCTTACTTTAGAAGTTTTATTTCCTGCTCTGTTAATTGAACTTTAATCACACACAGGAGATTCCTGTAGGCTCTAGCAGTCTACTAATAGAGCAGAAGATAAGAAATTCTACATTAAACAGACTGTGCAATAAAGTTAAACATTAGATGAATCTTTACAGGAAGTGTTAAGAAAGGCTGAACGAGGCGTGTGACTGTGAGCACATCAGAGGCGGCAAGGGAGCTGTAATCCTCCTGCTCTGCTACCTCACGGGATGTCTACTGACGCAGGGAGCCAGAACATGATGTCATATTCTGGCTCCTGGTGTCAGTAGATGGCTTGTGAGGGAACAGAGCAGGAGGATTACAGCTCCTTCACTGCCTCTGATGTGCTTACAGCCGCCCGCCTTGGGGGTCCATAAACTGCTTCCTCCAAAACAGGAGGAAGCACTTGGGATGTCCATGCGGGCCCTTGGGGATAGATAGAGCCAGTGCCGGCTCTATCCACACACAGTTACAGTCACACATAGGTACACATCCACACACACAGAGGCAGACAGCTACACACACACAGTTACAGTCACACACATGCACACAGACACACACACACACACAGTTACAGTCACACAAACACATTTACAGACACACACACACACACACACATCTGTCCATTATGGGCTGAGTGGAGGCATTGCAGCTCCTGGAGTCCGGATGTTGGGGAAGCAGGGACACCTTCCTGCTTCCAATCCTGACAAACAAGACTTTTGTTCCATTTATTCTGTTCCTTTAAAACAAAGTTCCTGCACTGATTATATTTCACCACTAGTGACCTCTCTTCCCTCTAGTTCTGAAACTTACCTTATCTTCCTCACCTGCCTGGACTAAATAAGGTCCTACAAAAGAATACACCCAACTCACCACATTGCTTTTACATTGAAGTTGTTGATTTGCCTGAAACATTTTGGCTCCTGGCTCCTGTGAACTAACCTGTGGACTTACCTTCTTGGCTTCAAACCTGCTCCATACCAACCTGCTCCAGACTTGCCTGAGCAATCCTGCATTGCTGCTTGACTTCTAATCTGCACAATACCAACCTGACCTTCACAACTATCCAGCTTTATCCTGCCATCCTGATTTATACCTGCTTAATCCATACAACCTCTCTGCTCTATACCTGCCTGCATAACACCACTCTGGACTTTGCCTCAAAGTAATATTACATGCTATGTTCCTGCTTGAGCAATACTCCTTCAAATAGGGGGTTTAGTAACTAAAGTTCTCATTTTCCTGTAATCCTGCTACCTTATTGTTCTGTTTTATTTGTCCTCCTATTTAATCCTATACTTTTATCTATAGGTTTTCATATTATTTACTTACATTCCTGTTTATATTCTATTTAGGACATATTGCCTCATTTTTATTTTTAATTTTTTCTCTCTCTCCCTCTACCTTTCCCTCTCTCACCCCACCACGCCGTCATTTGGCCCCGCTCCCGCCACACGGTAAGCCATGCCCCCACTATGTTTAAAAAATTTTTTTTTTAATAATCCTGGGGGGCACAAGGGGAGCAGGGCATGATGTGGGGAGGGGGGGGGGGCACTGGTAGTGGCACTGGTAGATTACAATCCAGGCACAATAACCACTACATCACTTTGCAGTAGTTATGTTGCCAGTAGTGCCGTAGTGCCCTCCCAGGGTAAGTAGTCAACCTATTTAAGAATAGTTTGACAACTTACCTGGGATCTGCTGGGATAGGGGCTGTATTGTGTGTGTGTGTGAGGGGTGCAGTGTGTGTACGGGGGTGCATTGTGTTTGTGAGTAGAGTTGAGTGAACCCGGACTGTAAAGTTCAAGTTCGTACCGAACATTACGTTTTTTGGACCCCGGACCCGAACACAGACATATCAGTATATGTTCGGGTTCGAGTTTGGTGTTCGTCGATTTAATGGCGCGTTTTGAAAGGCTGCAGGGCAGCCAATCAACAAGCATTTGACTCGTGTGCCCTTAGAAGCCATCACAGCCATGCCTACTAATGGCATGGCTGTTATTGGCCGGTGCAGCATGTGACCCAGCCTCTATATATAAGCTGGAGTCGCGTAGCGCTGCATGCACATGAGCTCTTTTTAGTGTAGGGAGAGGATGCTGCAGCTGTTAGGGACAGATTAGGAAAGAATTTTGGTGTTGAATCTGCAAACTACAGCGATTATTCAAACTACAGCGATTATTCAAACTACAGCGATTTTTTTTGTACCCTGCTCTGAGCCCAGTGCCACAGAGAGTGCAGTGCACTTGCAACTGCATATGTGCCAGGCACATTACTTTAATCCTGTTCTGGTAGCTCAGTGGGCAACATCTAGGCATTTTTAAATACTGCAATTTTTTGGTGCTAAATAGTACATTTGCGTACTGCATTTCTTGCAGTCCAATAAAACCCTTAAATACTACTGTTACATTGGGTACATTTGCGGCCTGCGGTGCACTTCATATCTGAGAGTCAAATAGAACCATCAAATACTGTGGTTATAGTGCATTTTTAAACATTCAAATTCTTTAGGTGCTAAAAAGTAAATTTGGGGCATGCACTTCATATCTGAGAGTCAAATAGAATCGTCAAATACTGTGCTTACAGCGCATTTTTAAAAATTCAAATTTTTTTGGTGCTAAATAGTACATTTGGTGCCTGCACTTCATATCTGAGAGTCAAATAGAACCGTCAAATACTGTGGTTATAGCGCATTTTTAAACGTTCAAATTCTTTAGGTGCTAAATTGTACATTTGGGGCCTGCACTTCATATCTGAGAGTCAAAGAGAACCGTCAAATACTGTGGTTACAGCACAGTTTTAAACATTTATTTTTTCTTGCTGCTAAATAGTACATTTGGTGTGTGCACTTCATATCTGGTGTATGTGTGCAACACTGGCTAGTTACCGCTTCTCAAGAAAGTCTAAAGACTTTTTAAAAAAGTGAAAAATAAGTGTTATTGTGATAGCTTCATATACATTATTATACATTTCTATATTGTGTAAAGACACAACTACAAAGTTAAAAACCAAACAACAAAGCATGTGCCAGACAATCTACCTGTGTGTGGCTAGTGTGATACAATAAGTCTACATCTTAAAAATGCAATAACCCACAGAAGATGGGCGAGAATTTTTTTTTGCAAATGGAACTTTGATTCTAATTTACTACATCGGTCACTAGTAATATTGTTTCACATCTACAACACTTGTTAAACAGATCTAAGTGATAGAAAACAGATTGATATTTTCTACACTAGAAACTACCAGATAAAAAGTTGCTATATTTAAACCAGTTATCAATTGCTAAAAGGTATTTAAACAATATTGTAATTCTGGGGCAATACCCTCACAAGTCAATCTGAGAGGTCAGTTTATAGGGAAAACTGTTGCCTGGATACAATTCTAAAACAATTTCCATATGTCCTTTGCAGACTTTACATGCTGGAAAAACACAGGTGCCAACTGCTGTGGCTTTCTGCAGTGTGCAGACCAGCAAGGAGGACAGGGTTGAGGAATGGGTGGAAGATGATGTGGAGGATGATGAGGTCCTAGACCCCACATGGAATGAAGGTCATGCGAGTGACGTGTGCAGGTTAGAGGAAGAGGTGGTGGTCGCACAGAGCCACCAGCACAGCATAAGAGGGAGCAGGGTGCAAAAGCGGAGTGGCCGTCCCCTAGCGCTCGTCGGCATGTATTAGCTCTAGAAATACCACAGTTATCCAAGTAACAGATGGAGCGATCAAAGGAACCATAACTAATTTAATGAGCCATTCGCAGTTTCACTGTAGCGGCTGTGCGCGCTTTCGGCGTTCTCACCCTGCTGCTGCTCGCCTGTCTGCGTTGCAGGGTTACTTCGGCCTTCCCGCTCTGCACCTCATATGCGATGTGCCCACAAGGTGGAACTCTACCTTGCACATGCTGGAGAGACTGTGCGAGCAGCAGCAGGCGATAGTGGAGTTTCAGCTGCAGCACGCACGGGTCAGTCGCTCTGCACCAGACTTGCCCTCCAATAGATCCTCGTTAAAGGATTTAAAGTGGACTCGTTCAAATTACATTGTTATTGTTATTTATCGTCACTACCTCCCCGCATCGGGAGTGGGTAATTTGCATGCCTGCTGCCTTCCTTGGATGTGGTAGCCGTTTCTCAGGCTCCCTCTCCGGAATCGAACCCTGATTCCCCGTTACCCGTGGATACCATGGTAGGTGCAGATAGTAACATCGAAAGTTGATAGGGCAGACATCCGAATGCGTTGTTGCCGCCACGGTCTCCGCCTCCTCAACCTCCTCCTCCACATCCACCTCCTCCTCCTAATCAGGGAGCAAAAGCAGAGCAGCCGTCCCCTAGACAGTATGCCTGCTACTGCCCACTGCATCCAGGGACCGAGCACACCAAAGTCAGCTCCAAGGAGTTCCCTGACGTAGCAGTTCGAATGAGGAGAACCCAGTCGATTCAGGTGGCACCTCCCGATAGGCAAACAGGCGATGGGGCAGGAATCTCTCTCAATCCTTGTGAGTCACCGTTGAAATGCTCACACAGGCCATTGGTCTGGGGGTGGTAAGGGGAGCTCAGGATTGGTTTAATGAGCACAATCTCCATAGTTGGTGGGTCATTTCGGCAGTGAACTGGGTGTCCTGGTCTGAGAGAATCTACCGGGGAAAACCCATCCGGAAGAACACTCACATCAAGGCTTCAGCCACAGTCTCTGCCCGAATACTGCTCAGGGTACAGAGTCGCGTAGTCCACGATGGTCAGAATGTACTTCTTCCCAGAGGGACTAGGCTTGGCTAGGGGACCTATAATGTTGACAGCTACTCTGCCAAATGGATCTTCACTAATAGGTAGGGGATGGAGGGGGGCCCTTCTCTTCTCCCCTCTCTGGCAGACATCTGGCAGTACTGCCTCAGATCCTGAGAGATGCCTGGCCAGAAGAAGCTGTGGATGAGCCGAGATGCTGTCTGGCTCCAGCCCAAATGCCCTGCCAAGGGGATATCATGAGCTTGCTTCAGCAGCTCATACCAATACTTCTTGGGTCTGGGGCTGGCGGTCTCTCACCAGCCGTGTCGTTGGGGAGCCCATTGAAAAAGTGCTCTAGCATGACGAACTGGGTGATCTCCTCCAGGAACTTGGCTTGATGGGAGTTGAGCCAGTTCTTGGTGGCCCTTGTGATGCGGCATGCCCACTCCGCATGGGAGTCCTTCTCCCCTTTCCGGGTCTCCCTAAACCTTACGCGGTATTGCTTGGGGGTGACCGCATACCAGGCCAGGAGAATTTGTGTAATAAAGGGATAGTCTCTGATCTTCTCTTCTGGTACAGCCTGGTAAATATCCGCTGCCTTCCCCACTAGTTTGCTGGCCAGGATGGTGACGCAGTCGCTGGGGTCCACGTCTTGGAGTAGGCACTGGCGCTCAAAGTCTTGTAAAAAGTAATTGATGCCTTCTTCTTCTTCCTTGTACTCTTTGAAGGCATTGTATAGTAGCTTGTGGGCCAGGGTGATTGTGCTTCCTGGTGCCCTCTGCTCCCTTTTTCCTTCATCTGGGTTCATGGAGGTCGCCCTCTGTCTATTGGCAAGGACATAGGCTTGCACCTCCAAAAAGGTCCTGCTGATGATCTCCTCTGAGGGTGGCTCTCGGTAATATGCCAGGTGCCGGTCCACCTCCTTGCGCACTTCCTCCTCATCTCCAGCCCCTGGCTGGGGTTCGGTGCCTCACTGCGTGCCTGGTCATTCTCCATGAGCGCAGCAGTCAATTTGGCCTTGTTACACCCAACAGACATTATTCCTCTGGCTCCACACAAGTCCTGCAGTGTAGGTCGCTTTAGAGCACTGTAGTCCATGGGTCTGTTGGCAGGGACATGGGATCCTGCCGCTTGCCATCAATTGAAGCGGGACCTGGGTAACCGATGGTTATCCCCTTTGATTAGAATAGTTCAAACCCATTTCCCCTGTAACCGGATGGGACACAGTTCCAGAATACAACGTTTGACAATCTTTATTTGGGTACACAGCTTTGCCTCCTGTTGCTTCCTACTCCGCTTCCTCCTCCTCTATCACCTCCTCATCCGGTCAGCGTAACACCTTCACCACCAAATTCAGCACAGCCAAGGGGAAAAGACAGCAGGCTGTTTTAAAACACATATGTTTGGGGGGAAAACCCCACACCGCGCAGGAGCTGTAAATAGGCATGGAACAACAGACCGATGAGTAGTTGTTGCCCCTGAGCCTCAAGCCCAGCCTGGTGGTGTGTGATAATGGGCGAAATCTCGTAGCAGCTCTGGGCCTAGCCGGTTTGACTCACATCCCTTGCCTGGCGCATGTGCTGAATTTGGTGGTGCAGAAATTCCTGAAAAACTACCCAGATATATCAGAACTTCTGCAGAACGTGCGGGCCATCTGTGCGCGCTTTCGGTGTTCTCACCCTGCTGCTGCTCGCCTGTCTGCGCTGCAGCATAACTTTGGCCTTCCCACTCACCGCCTCATATGCAACGTGCCCAGATGGTGGAACTCCACCTTGCACATGCTGGAGAGACTGTGCGAGCAGCAGCAGGCGATAGTGGAGTTTCAGCTGCAGCACGCACGGGTCAGTAGCTCTGCGGAGCAGCACCACTTCACCACCAAAGAGTGGGTCTCCATGTGAGACCTGTGTGCCATGTTGCGCTGTTTCAAGTACTCCACCAACATGGCCAGTGCCGATGACGCCGTTCTCAGCCTTACTATTCTGCTTTTATGTCTCCTTGAAAAAACGCTTTGGGCGATAATGGAAGAGGATGTGGCACAGGAGGAAGAGGGGGAAGAAGAGGGTTCATATCCATGGTTATCAGGCCAGTCATTCACAAGTGGCTCGGAGGATGGGTTCCTGCACCAGCATAGGCCAGGTACACAATTGTCTGGCATCTCCACACTGTCCCATGGAAGCGTTCAGCTGTCCATTTCCCAAACAATGGAGAGAAAGAGGAAGTACCCCCCTACCCACCCGCGATCCCTGGCCCTGAATGCCAGCATTTCAAAATTCATGGCCTTTGAAATGCTGTCATTCCGTCTGGTGGAGACAGACAGTTTTAAAAACCTGATGGCATTTTTGGACTGCAAGAAATGCACCGCAGGCCGCAAATGTTTCTTTTTTTTATATGTCCCAATATTTTGGGGGCTACCCCAATAAAAAATAAAAAAATAGTGTTGGCTACCTCCTCCTCCTCCACCGCCGCTTCCACCTACACCGCCACGGTCACCACCTCCTTAACCTATGGGTCACTTAGTATAAACTATGTAAACAATAGCAGAGGCTTGTGAAGGCCTTTTCTCCATGCATCAGGAGTTGAGCTCAGTTTGAACAATGAAAGAGAATACCCTGCACTCCAACCCTCTCTCAAATGGATAATTCTGGTGATCCTCCTGACACCCATGCTTTAGATTTTGATTTATGTTCTTCCAAAGCTAAAATCAAAGATTCCATCTAGTGCTATTTTATGGCTCAGCTGTATTTTAAATTTTTAGGTATTTTATGTTATTTTAAGGGATTTCCCTATCCACATTTGTTTCAGGGCACTTGTCCTACTCTTACCCCCATTTTACTCCCATTTGCAGCCCTCTAGCCCTTTCCAGGACTTTTTTAGAGGCATTTTTGTGGCCAAAAGTTCGGGTCCCAATTGACTTCAATGGTGTTTGGGGTCAAGTTCGAGCCCGAACTCGAACTTTTTGACGAAGTTTGGCCGAACCCGGCGAACCCGAACATCCAGGTGTCCGCTCAACTCTATTTGTGAGGGATGCAGTGTGTGTGTGTATGTAGGGCAGTTTGTGTGTGGAGGGTAGTGTGTCTGTGTGGGGGTAGTGTGTATCCTACACTGCTAGCGGGCTGATGAAGGAGAACTCTAATCTCCCCTCCGGTCCTGCAGAGCCGGCAGGGGAGAGTGAGGCATGGTTCCCGGTGCTGTCATCATAGCGCCAGGAAAATATCAAGCGGCGCTCCAGTGTGCCTGTCGTGGTGCCCTGCACACAGTTTGGGAACTGCTGGATAAAAAGAATTGTTCTCTCAAAAGAAGACCTCCAACTAAAAAGACATGCTCATGTTGGAAAATGAGTGGGAAGAGGATGCAAACCAATCCTCAATCACAATTCACTACATTTGAAACTAGTGATCCATGTCAAAAAGAAAAAATCGGTGCAATTCAGCAATATGTTATTTTTTGTATGTTTAGATTTTGAACTTCTTCATTTTATGGAATATATAATTGCTTCAACATCAGATTTATATGAAATAGAATAAAATATAACAAAGACATTCAGAGATATGCTCAATAACCCTTTTCTTTAATTCTATCACACGATACAAATGACTAAGTGCTCTTTAACATTTTTATATCAATTGATTTTAAAAATGTATAATCATTAAATAAACATCTATGTGTGCTGATAACTTTTTCAATAAACATAGACTATACATTTTAGAGAAGACAATCGGAATTTTATTTATTTTCTTGTGTCTATATTTTATTTTTTAAAGTTGTTTTTTTTAACTCATTCATGTGTTTTTTTTTGATTACTTGTGGTAAATTGCACATCGGTCATTTAAGACATTTAAATTACCATCCTTATTCTGTAAAATAACATCTCAAGTAGGCATAATGAGACACAGTTATAATGCTCTGAGTAAGATTCCTCCAAATTGCCATGAAAAAAACAAACAACCTATTAATCGATGTACATTTGTAAACCCTGTATTAACACAAAGAAAGCAAACATAATCACCTGAGGACAATGACATCTAAATTCTCTACATTCTGCCATTGGAAAATGTTGTTTCACAAGATCATGAACATCCCACAACACTTAAATAAGAGAGGAACTGTATACTTTGTTCTAAGTACATAAAGGTGTGCCTGATGTGTAATCAGCCTGTACTCACTACATCCCAAGATTGTTTCCTTGCTCTGCGAGTCTCTAATTCTATTTAAAGTTACTTTAGTCTTGACATTAGTTGCCATGGTAATGCAGAGTTTAATGTTCCTGAATGTTTTACTACAATTAGGTTACATTATTATGGACAAAATGTCAAGTGTCACTGTGACAAATAGCTACAATTTGCTCTCAGCTTTAGTAATGTGGCTTTACTAGCACTGAAGACATCCAGCAAATGGCATGTACCTCTTAAATAATACAGAGTAACATTAAACATAGAACAGAGTAAGCTTTTCACCTGATTATACTGAAGCAAAATCATGCTTGTTTACTCCATGCTCTTCTTACAATTGTGAGAATGTGTGGAAATGCACTAAACTATGACTTCCAGTATTTATATATTATTTCAATGTATGAGGCACAATGGCATGCTGAATTTATAAAGT